CCCAAAGGATGCTGATTAAATAAGTGCATTGTAGAATCAATCCTTTCCCACGGAAACACGTATAATTTTTCTCGTTTTTTTATATTGCTATTTTGAGTATGTGGAGATGGACTGAGACTACAGAGCTGTTATATTAAGTAATAAATGTTTGCTTCATCAGCATACAAACACATTGCGATGATGTGATATGTAGCACTGACATTCTGTTTAAATGAACGCGTGGGAGGAACGAGATGGGAAGGTCCAAACGTTGTGTAACTTCACATAGTTTTTAGGTAAAGTGAGTCCTGCGCAAGTTTGCAGTGATATGATCTCGGCTGTTGTTTTTTGAAGGAAACATGTCTAGAAAACCATTTTACATCTTCGTAGAACCTTGCGCGTCAACCTTTTCTGAGGAAAATATCTTCTATTTGATTGCAGTTTGGTTTGATTTATTCCGACAAATGTCTCTTATGTCACTGTAGCATTTAATTCCCAGCCGTATGAAACATGATACATTGTGGAAACTGTCAAATATAAAGGTCAACTCCATGTCTTGTTTGAGTTGTACAATATTAAACTTTATTGGATAGAGAATTTTCTTTCAGCATATACACGTAATTCTAAACTTTATCTTTCAGCATATACACGTATCGCAATAAATAACACAATCCACTATAAAACATTTCACTTTCTGATTGGTCATTATGGAGAGAGTATGCTCAGCATGTATGCCCATATATACGGAATGTTTCTTTTAAATACTACGTCGCGCTCTCCGATAGTAGATTTTGTCATGAAAACATTTTGCTGGTATAGTGTATTCTGTGATTTATGTATCATTTATAATCAACATTGTTTCGGAAAATACTGTGTTTTGAGCTATACTTTGTCTAGTGCACAACCCAACTGTATACATTTATTGTCAATAAGGTTTGCTGGACACTGTCGTTTTTGTACACATATAAAGTAACAGTTTTGACATCTGAGTCCTCTTGTTCATATTTTAAAGTGGTGAAATATTCCTTCAGTTTATATATTATCAAAAGTTTATTTATCACGATCACTGTATAGTTACAAACATTTGCTATATAAATATATATAAACGTACGCGTGCTATTTGAAATGTTGTTGACCACCCTTTGCAAATAATTACGCTCCTACTGTTGATGATTGCGTCCCGTTAGTTTAACTTTCCTAAAATTACATGTACATCCTGTTCTTGGAACCTCGTTTTGAGTCATACAGCTAACGGAAATCCTTATGTATGGTGTTTTTATTAGTTTAGTATCTCTTGGTTAACTCCTGGTGTTATCGATATAATGCCAGGATGTGGTGTAGTTATGGGTAACACAAGCAGGGAAATCTGACCTTCCGGAGCATCAGACGTTTCGCCGCCATTTGTTTGCGGGGGTTCAAAATATCCTTCTTCATGTCATGTTATTTTCTCCTGTTGTTGCGTTTTGTATCGAAAATAAGATTCGATTTATCTTTGTGTGTTGACAATGTGGTATACCTGCCTTGATTCGATTTATCTTTGTGTGTTGACATTGTGGTATATCTGCATTGATTTGATTTATCTTTGTGTGTTGACATTGTGGTATACCTGCATTGATTCGATTTATCTTTGTGTGTTGACATTGTGATATACCTGCATTGATTCGATTTGCAATAGTCGATGCCTATTGATTCTAATGTATTTCACCGATAATTCGATGTCATCTATTTTCAGTGAAGCAGAAGATGCTGAGGTCTTCAGGAAACATAGCCTTATCTTTGGACGTTTTCAATGTTTTCCTCTTCTTGTAAATCTTTTACTTAGTGCACATTTTCCTTATGTTTCTTCTTTTAAGTTTTAATGCTACAATTTTGTTTGTGGCCAAAAATAGTTTGATATGGTCAAGAAAAAACTATTAATTTGAAATATTCAATGTTTATCAATGACACTTTATATGTTGATTTTCTTAATTCGGACCATACTAAAGCCCTTAAAATTAGACATTCTTCTTAACCACGAATGTCCCTTTACCGCCTTTCAGAGTGTGTCATGGCCCAGAATGTATTTCTGCGCTACTGTGTAAAGTATGTTGGCCATGCTCAAACCCAGTTTTATCACTTATTACTATGTGTACGATCTTACTGTGAATACAGGATTATATCAGTTTCAGTTCTCCGCAAAAGAATTGATATATCCTGCCTGAGACCGCTTGTTAACAGTGTGAACTATGATTCTCTAAGGATGAGTAAGTGCTTTAACGGATGTGCTGAGTAATGCGTTATGTCTACAGCAAAAACATATCGTTTATGTAATTCGTTATACAGATATTAATTATAAGTATGTCGTGTCATGCAGTTATTGTGTTTTTCTTGCGAAAAATACATGCAGTACATCGCAAATGCGTATTGTATAACACATTTTGAAACTCGATATTAATGCAGTTTTACTAAGAAATTGCACAATGTTGCAATACAGTCACAGACACTGTTTTTTAAGCATATTCCAGTCATTTGATCAATATTGGGTTGTTGATGGCCGAGCCAAACCTTTTCATTATCAAATTACAAAAGTGATTCAGTACATTCAGCAACTTGATATTTAATGGAAAACAAAGGGGTAGTGGAAAGTTCCGATTCCGTGAATTATCCACAGTTTTCTTAGATGCTAGAAAGATTAGTTACTAAAGAACATTTCAAATAAGGAAATTTGATGGAATCCGAACTTATTCTGTTTCACCAACAACAAGGTCAAATAGGTAATTTATAATTTCCTAAAAAATGAGACCGCATATGGCCAAGCGGATTACGATTTTAATTTTATAATTGCGATAAAGGTCCCATGAAATGCACACGGTGGAGATGAAAATATTGAAAATCGGTACAGGGGGCGCTGCAGTCACACTTGCGGTCCATTCAAGCTTAACCCTTTGGTTTAATAAGGAACCTGTCGAGATTAATTAAGATTTACACTAAAACCTACAAGATATATCATGGTCCCAATTTTCATCGCTGAGATGATTTTTTCAATCAAGAAGATGATTGACTGATTGTGTGAATCACTTGTGTCAGGCCGATGTCTATGTCAAAATAAGTTGTACCTGTATTTGATTGTTTTTATGTTATTCCATGCTATGTTGGATCCAAAAGGTTAATGAAGCATGTAACAAGATATTGATACTACTTATGATTACTATGAATACTATCATATGTTACACAGTACATAGGGTGACGATGTTAATTTTGTACTCAATATATTACCCTGTGATAAATATATGTATGTATTGACCTGTAATTGTATTTGTAAAATGATCGTATCAAAGTTATATGTTAGGGACCACAGTTGAAATAAGTCTGTGACTTTACTGTGTTATCCCGGTAAAACATGTATTGCATTGTCCATGTGATGGACTTTTATGTATTGATGCAATGTTTTACCAAATTCTATACTTTTGCATTGTTGAAATGCCTTAATATATCGTGTATGTTCTCTTGTTATGAAAGTCTTTATTTGCAAAAAAAAGGCGATATATATGTATTGATGTAAATTGCTTTGCAGCCTATTATAAAAATAGCTGAGCAAACAGAAAAAATAAATAAACTGAGGTTGAAAATGTAATAATGATTGAGTTGACAATATTGTTGTTGAGTTTTAAGGACAAATTGTCCAGCCGACTGTAAGCAAGCTGTTCTCCTCATCTGGCCGACCTGTTTTATATTTCCTTTTGAAGTTCTTCACAGATGTCGCACAAATTTCATAAGAATTTCTCCTTGTTCACCTTTTTTCTGCATGTTTTATTTTAGGATTACTTGTAAAACAAAATACCTGCTAGACAGACGATTTTGCGAATAAAAGATTTGTTTTACAGACGTTTCACTAAATAGATTTGACATATCATTCTCCAATTTCATATGATGTCCCTGGTTGTTTATGTTTCATTTTGAGACTGATCGAAAAAACAACCATCTTGAATTTTGAAAATAAAAGTGTTTTTCCTCAAGAAATACTTTTCAGGTCTTTCTGAAATTTCAGTATAAGGATTTCCTTGGTCCGTAGTTGTGCGTAAGGCAACGATTTTGGATTGTGAGGGTTAAAGTTTGTTATCGCTATTTCTCAAGAGATATTCTACATATCTTTCTCAAATTTCATATGAAAAAATATCCATTAGTCCCTGGTTGTGCATGTTCATTATAAGACTGATCGAAGAAATACAATGGCCGAAAGGCTGCCATCGTTGACTTGAGGGTTATCGCAATTTTTCTAAAGAAGTGCTTGACAGATCTTTCTCAAATTTCATATGCAGGATCTCATGGGTAGTTATTTCTTGCATTTGCATGTGTCATCTTGAGACAGGTACGATTCGTCGTCATCACTTTTTCTCAAGATGTACTTGACAGATATTTCTCAAGTTTCATATGATGGCTTCCCTTGGTGATTAGTTGTGCATGTGTCGCGTTAAGACTTGTCTGAGCGATCATCTTTAATTTTGATCGTTCAAGTTTGTTATCGCTATTAATTCCTTAAAAAGTACTTGACAAATCTTTCTCAAATTTCATACGGATGTTCACCTTAGTGATAAGTTAAACATGTTAGGTAAAAAAACGCTTAATATGTCTTTCTTAATTTTCAATTATCGGTTCTTCTTATTTCACACTGAATACTGTACAGGTAAATATGTCAAATGATAATACCACTTTTAAAGATAATATCATTTCCACATAGCAGTATAAAGTTTAGGTCAAAGGTTACATCAAGGTGTTTTTACTGTTTACATTACTCAAAAAACAAGAGAAGAGAAGAAAACAGACCAGTCTTACAAAGAACTAATGAAGATAGTTCGACCTCTGGGATCTCTTGTAATCAGGATACCAGCCCTGATTACTTCATTCGACTTCAGCAAAATTATACCGAATCCATAGAAAACAACATGATTTTACAAGAATATACTTTTGCTTTTTATGCAAAAATATATATTCCTTTTCAAGTCATAAGAAAACAGAACTCGATTTTTTATATATGAGTTGTAATTGATGAAACTATCATTGTTTCCCTGGATCATCGCATATATACATTTAAATGTAACAAAATAATGTTTGAAATTATTTATATAAATTATCTGTACATTTCTAAAGCAATTTTCCCTTATCTGTATACCATAGTGCTATAGTAAGGAAAATATTTAACGAGCGACAACTGTGTTATGATATATAGAAATATATAAGAAAATATCCGTTAAAGTATAGATATGCTTGTTCTATCATTTTAAGCCTTTGAATACAGAAAATTGATACAGGCAAAATATTTTTTGAAAAGTAAGACTTTCGAAGGAACACTAATGCCGAACAAGGCAATTCACATTTTTTCGGCTTGAATTCTGTCACTCCCGGCCAGTGTCGTAGTCAAGCCACATATCTAGGCGCCTTTTCTGAAAATATAAAGATAATTTAAAATCATGTTTTGCAAGTTAATAGATCGAAGAAAACCTGAAATGCACTCAAAGCGATTTAAGATAATTTGATAAACTCAGTGCTGTTTTCAATATAAGATGGACTAATGTCTTTGATATCAGTATTTATACATCATCTGTACTTTCTGCCGGAATACAAAGACGAATTAAGGATAAAACATTATACGGTACAGCAATAGAGTGGAATAATGTAACAATGCACTTTTGTTATGCTAGATTCTTCATTTAATTCATTTCAAGATACTTACATCTAATAAAAATAATAATATACAAACATTTATATAGCGCCCTATATAATTTGTAAAATTACTCTAAAGCGCTTTATAGCATACTGATAATAGTATAATAAACAAAAAATGCTTACGATCACCATTATACATTAAACGAGAAGCTAATCATCTCAATGTGCTTAGTAACGAATAAATAAAGGGTGGTATGTTAATGACGCCTGTGCAAAGATCCTAAAATGCAGACGTGAAGAAGTGGGTCTTTATATCGTACTTTATATCCTCTTGAAACTGTTCCCTCACTACAACCTCTGCACCTGCTGTTATCCAAATCATGTTTTAAGAAGGACCTTATGTGGGAACCTGTTGAAGAATTTGTAATTTGCTTTGGTTCCCTTTATATGGAGTCACGAAAATGACCAAAGTAAATATACTGTACTGATTGCAGCATTTGGGTTCTTGATATATTCTCTTTGATTCCTAAGAACGTTTATTTTTACTTGCGCATTCCTTGCCACACAATCACTTTCGGTCTTAGTGTAGCACGTTTACCCAAGTGAGAGCGGCAATATGTTCTATCCCCTGTCTGGGATATGTCAGTCTTTAAAACTGTTAGTTATTTATTCCAGATTAACGTTCAGCATTTCGGGAAACAACTAGTTAACGCGTTGTCAGTAATGTGTGACCAGGCGGGATGCTGTGTTGGGTGCCTTTGGCGAGGTATGTCATTGAGGTAGCATTTTAAAAGTCGGTATCAAACTACGCTATCACAAGGGACATATGCATCTACATAATCCCACCTCCAGAACGCACACATCCACGCGGGCATTCCTTACACACTTGAGAGCACAGCCTTAAATGGCTTGATCTGCTGAACGGACGTAAAACAAAATTAAACAAAGCCAACCTTTGCTTTATTATTTTAAATTTTGTGTTTTGAAGGGAATGTTTTGAACTTCCATTAAGTATTTTGCTGGGTTTTTTAAACGTTAGTGAAGTTTTCGTAATGATCATTGCTATAGAGGATAAGTCTGTGTTTCCTAAGGTCAGTCAGTTCAAAAGGGTCATGTTTGTGATTTTGTATCTATTTACGGCTGAGATATCAGTGAAATCGACATGGTCGTTGTTTAAAAACCCTCTAGTGCGGTATCTCATGACTGGAATAGTAATCATATTTTAGTCCTATTTAAATCAAGTAGCTCATTCGGAGGGATTAATATAAAAATAGGTTTATGGTCATCATTGGTGCGTACTTGAATAGACCTACACGGCTAAAGAGTATAAACAGATTATCTCTCAAAGAACAGTAAGTCTGTTTAAACGTAGAAGACGACTTCCTGGTTGAGTTTTTTTGAGTAGCCCTGGGTATTATTTCTTTGCTAAATTTAGTATATGCATATAATAGATAAGATGAGTAAATACAAACATTTTTTTGCCTTATTAACAAACATGAAACAAGTCTATTGATTTATTTTATCAGCCTTATCGGACCGAATGTTAGCGCGTAGACGGACTAAATGTGGGACGAGCCCACAGTACCACGAGCAAACCCTCGGGATCGGACAGGTGGGACGAGCCCACAGTACCACGAGAAAACCCTCGGGATCGGACAGGTGTCCTATAGTTTTTCACTATCGAATCCCGGCCATCATCATGAAATGTAAGCACACTTTCCTCTTCAATAGTGTTGATAATTTAACGAACAAAATTCACATGGCCTTGCAGGTAGGGGGTGGGGGCACTGTCGAATGCAGTTGAGTTGGGGGACTTGCTACTTTACTTGATGAATGTTTTGGAAAGTTAGCAGAGTACATTGCATATATAATTGTATTAATATAGAGTTAGGTTGGTGCATTGGAGTTCTGATCAGGTAATGTAAACCGTAGCCCTTGAATACAAAACTTTAGACTTGCAGGGACCCTGGCTAGATGACACTGATGCTATATATAACATGTGTATTGCAATAGATTGGTGTGTCTTTTGAATCAACAAAATGTTGATGTGAAGAGAAGTTGTATGGTTTTATTAACCTCTTAAATTATCATACACAAAAGAAGCTAACACATAGGGACAGGAACAGACCAAATCACATAGTTGTGTTACAAGTGAGATCGTAACAAACTGGTGACAGAAGCTACAATCCCACATTTTCCCTTCACAACATTATTCCTTGGGCAAGCAGTAACATTATTAGTTATATAGTCAGTTACTGACCCTCTACAGAACCATAGAGGGGCAGTAACATTATTAGTTATATAGTCAGTTACTGACCCTCTACAGAACCATAGAGGGCAGTTAGATGTATAGTTATATAGTCAGTTACTGACCCTCTACAGAACCATAGAGGGCAGTAAGATGTATAGATATATAGTCAGTTACTGACCCTCTTCAAAACCATAGAGGGGCAGTAACATGTATAGTTATATAGTCAGTTACTGCCCCTCTACAGAACCATAGAGGCATAGAGGGACAGTAACATTAATAGTTATATAGTCAGTTACTTACCCTCTACAGAACCATAGAGGGAAAGTAACATTATTAGTTATATAGTTAGTTACTCACCCTCTACAGAACCATAGAGGGACAGTAACATTATTAGTTATATAGTCAGTTACTAACCCTCTACAGAACCATAGAGGGTCAGTAAGATGTATAGTTATATAGTCAGTTACTGACCCTCTACAGAGCCATAGAGGGGCAGTAAGATGTATAGTTATATAGTCGATACTGACCCTCTACAGACCCATAGAGGGGCAGTAACATTATTAGTTATATAGTCAGTTACTGACACTCTACAGAAAAATAGAGGGACAGTAACATTATTAGTTATATAGTCAGTTACTGACCCTCTACATAACCATAGAGGGGCAGTAAGATGTATAGTTATATAGACAGTTACTGACCCTCTACAGAACCATAGAGGGTCAGTAAGATGTATAGTTATATAGTCAGTTACTGTCCCTCTACAGATCCATAGAGGGGCAGTAAGATGTATAGTTATATAGACAGTTACTGACCCTCTACAGAACCATAGAGGGGCAGTAACATTATTAGTTATATAGTCAGTTACTGACCCTCTACAGAACCATAGAGGGGCAGTAAGATGTATAGTTATATAGTCGATTACTGACCCTCTACAGAACCATAGAGGGGCAGTAACATTATTAGTTATATAGTCAGTTACTGACCCTCTACAGAACCATAGAGGGGCAGTAACATTATTAGTTATATAGTCAGTTACTGACCCTCTACAGAACCATAGAGGGGCAGTAACATTATTAGTTATATAGTCAGTTACTGACCCTCTACAGAACCATAGAGGGGCAGTAACATTATTAGTTATATAGTCAGTTACTGACCCTCTACAGAACCATAGAGGGGCAGTAACATTATTAGTTATATAGTCAGTTACTGACCCTCTACAGAACCATAGAGGGGCAGTAACATTATTAGTTATATAGTCAGTTACTGACCCTCTACAGAACCATAGAGGGGCAGTAACATTATTAGTTATATAGTCAGTTACTGACCCTCTACAGAACCATAGAGGGGCAGTAACATTATTAGTTATATAGTCAGTTACTGACCCTCTACAGAACCATAGAGGGGCAGTAACATTATTAGTTATATAGTCAGTTACTGACCCTCTACAGAACCATAGAGGGGCAGTAACATTATTAGTTATATAGTCAGTTACTGACCCTCTACAGAACCATAGAGGGGCAGTAACATTATTAGTTATATAGTCAGTTACTGACCCTCTACAGAACCATAGAGGGGCAGTAACATTATTAGTTATATAGTCAGTTACTGACCCTCTACAGAACCATAGAGGGGCAGTAACATTATTAGTTATATAGTCAGTTACTGACCCTCTACAGAACCATAGAGGGGCAGTAACATTATTAGTTATATAGTCAGTTACTGACCCTCTACAGAACCATAGAGGGGCAGTAACATTATTAGTTATATAGTCAGTTACTGACCCTCTACAGAACCATAGAGGGGCAGTAACATTATTAGTTATATAGTCAGTTACTGACCCTCTACAGAACCATAGAGGGGCAGTAACATTATTAGTTATATAGTCAGTTACTGACCCTCTACAGAACCATAGAGGGGCAGTAACATTATTAGTTATATAGTCAGTTACTGACCCTCTACAGAACCATAGAGGGGCAGTAACATTATTAGTTATATAGTCAGTTACTGACCCTCTACAGAACCATAGAGGGGCAGTAACATTATTAGTTATATAGTCAGTTACTGACCCTCTACAGAACCATAGAGGGGCAGTAACATTATTAGTTATATAGTCAGTTACTGACCCTCTACAGAACCATAGATTTATAGGGGGCGAGGGCGGATAACGAATTCATCGCATCGAGGTCCCTTTTTGCTTGAAATGAAAATGATGTAAAGCATAACAAATCATTTTTAGAATATCCCGTCCATTTACGTATTTTGATATTTGATATGTTAACAGTTTAATATTGCCGTTTTGTGGAGTGAAGCGTAATGATCCCGTGACCTAAAGAGGCTAGGTGTCCTGCTTTTGTATGTTTAAACAAACCCAAAAATCCCAACCGAGGCGTAAGCCGAGTTTGGGATGTTACATAATCTTAGCCCGAGGCTGAGATATCTCTTAACTTTTAGTTAAAAAAAACTATTCAATTTTGCAAAAATCTACAAGTATCACGCCTTGGGCCTCAAGTGATAATGACGTCTTCACTACTTAAGCTACATTTGAATGATTCCGCGTAACAAACATAGTCCGTCCTTACATAGATTACAACGTATTTCGCAGTGTTGATTATATTTTATCTACAACATCAAATACCTAACAACATCAAAACTATACATATAACGACAAAACAGAACATTTTAATGCAAATTGTCTATTTCAAGCTGTTAACGTGGATAAATACATCGCAGTGTAAAAATTCCGCGAAAAGTCACGTAAAGGTACAAGACAGGTCGGACAAGATAGAAAACTCTAGCATGGGGTATGACGTGGGATATCTCTGTCTGAGGTGCGAGAAATCATCTGTCTGTGTTCAATGTGACTGTTTTCTGTGTGCCTTTGTAGTGTTATTCATTTTCACCTGGTATGGTTTTGGGCCATATTTTTCTTTCACACCTGGTATGGTTTTGGGCCATATTTTTCTTTCACACTATTTGGGTAATCTTTTCATTGAGAAACGAACGATTTGTTTTGAAAATGTTTGAGCAAAAGCTAAGATGTATGCTCCGGATTTTTATCGGAATACGATTCTTGCATTCTGAAAATGACAAAGGTACATAATTATATACGTTAGTTTTTATCAGCAATCACGGGTAATATCATAATCTTAATAATGATTGTTATAAACACGTATAGGCATTCAGCATAAGCAATTATATATTAACTTGAAATTGATTTGAAATAAAATTCTAAATCGCTCGTAATCTAAATTTGATGTACCTGCGCCAGATAGCCTTTCTGCGACGTTCGGTTACGTAGCGTAGGAAAGCACAGCCGCTATGGATCAACGTGTCAGGTGAGAACTATAATAACGCTATATATCAATATCATGTTCTGTAAGTTACGATTAAAATCGCATTCAGAGCATCAATTGGTACTTAATGTTGATTTCTGATACCCCTTATTACCTTAATCATCATCCTGCCTGGCTCCAACTCCCCGGTCCACCCTGCGGTGACTACCATAACCGGTTCTAGATCGGCTCGGCCAATGTTGTCGGGTTATCTGATTGTCATTCATTATTGGCTATCTTGTGGGTTCCTATTGTATTGTAGATATGTCTGCTTTGTAAAACAGCCACATATTGACCTTCCTTTATGACTTTACGTACGATCATTTTGATAATTAACATGGTTCGCTGCCAAGCTTGCTTGATGCACCATTGTCGAAAGCATGTACACTGTCAAGACGCATTGATCATGCTATTCTCAAAACCGGGCTTTAGATATACATGCTTGCGTTGCATCGTATATTTATCATTTATGTATTTTGTTGGATTGAATATATTGCTGTTCATGATAAAGCGAAACTGACCGAGAGAGAGAAGAAGCTGATTCCAATATCATTTTCAGATCCATGTAACCAAATTTTCACCGAAATAGAAGTCTATAGTTGTTTAGTTATCTTGAAGTTACGTTATAAAGCTGACCTGTTGATCCTATAAATAGTGACACCGAGTCAATACAACAGTTCACCGACCTGGACGTGAGTATTATTGAACCATAAGGATGTAGGAAGAAGATGTGTCATCAATGCCTTATGTATCAACTTTGATGCGATTTGTATGTATCAGAAAACAATAATTTATGCATATTATGAATTGGAAACTTGTGGTATTTTTCCTTACATACATGTATAAGAGTATATGTTGCCTTACTGTTACTATCCACTTCTTTGGAGAAGAATTCCTTACTATCTATCTGTAAAATATTATTATGCAATTTATTGATACTTAATTTGATAACTAATAAAATGTGTAAGTTATTAGGTACCGATATCGACTTCTTTCAATTTTATAATCTTGAAGATAGTATAACAAATGACTCTAGCATAAGTCACTGACTGGTTTAAAGTGTAACGTAACCTCTTTTAATGAAAGGTCCAAAGTATAAAGAGATTCCTACTTCCTGTTGGAATGTGAAATTCAGGTATTAAAGGATCATTCTAAATTGAATTCATTTTCCAAGTGGATTAAACTGATCAAATCAATCATTTAAGCGAGTTATCAGTTCCATATGAAACTAAAAGACTGAATGTATTTACTCGAAAATCTAGAATTTTCCTATAGATGAAATGTAAGCTACTTATACTCCCGTATTACAATATTACCAAGTGACGCCTAATGATAAGAATACGGTACTGACTCCTATAAATTCGATTTAATATTCATTACAATAGTTTATGTACACATCGTTTTATTGCCAATCAAGCCGTTATCCAATCTTGAAACTATAATTTCAAGCACTGTTGTGAATGTATATATAGCTACCAATCTGACTTAGTGTGATCGGCGATTCACGCGCGACGTTGATGCGCCCCAGAAGTGATGTAACGACACGTGTGGTAGTCTGCTCTTGGTCAAGGTTCTATACGTACATACTTTACGTCCTATTGATCTGATCGTATATTACACTCCCCCATGCAGGCATACTTCAAGGGAATTTTAAATATATCTTGTAGCCTTCTTACAACAATTTGGTGTCAGAAGTTAAGAATGTTTATTTAGTTCATATCACTCGACATATGGTGATACCTATACACTTAGGTGTAGCTTTTATGGCGTCGTGTAAGTGATGTATGTAGCCCGTCAAAATGATATCGTGAGTACACATTACGTAGAGTGTTTATATATTTGCACGATTTGGAAACACATTCTCATATCCGTATTTGTGTATCTTGGATCTAACTAAATGCTATTGGTCCTCGCAGGGCGAAGGCAGTGACGTGTGAGTGAGTTCGTGGCTTCTGTTGGCAGATATCCAGCAAGCTTTTGGCAAAATGCCCAAAATCTACCAGAAACAACTATTCTATATAGACAGATTGCAATGAAAGATGAGATCGAAGAAACACAAAGTGTTGTTTCAAGAAAGACTGAAGCAAGAGGAAGTGAGCTTCCGAAGGTAAGAGCTTCGTACGGGGTTAGAGAAGTGGCGCTTTATTCCGAAATATTTGATCACCGATGGAAGAAGACATGGCCACCATTCCATTCACAATTGGTGAACATCTTTGATCAAAAGGCGATGAAACTGCAGTCACGGCAGACATTTGCGGTTGCGTGTGTTCTTGGACTTCCAATGGAGTTTTGTTTGGTTCCTTTATTACTTAACGGGAATATTGATTGGTTAATTGGGACCGGTAAGTCGTGCATGGATGAGAGGATCACAATCAGCCTAGACATTTTGATAGCCCGGACATATAGTCTGTTCCATAGGGGAGCACACAGTTGTTTGCATCATAGGGCATCTGCCTCGATGTCAGATTGCGGAACTGAGGCTTGGTTGCAAGCCGTTGTGCGGAAGCGGATGACCGGTGCTGAGGTTGGACGTTTTGGGCCAAAAAGCTACATATTTTAAAACGGGGAGATTGTATTGTGAATACGAATATAGTGACCGAGCTGACTTAGTGCACTCGACGATGAACGTACGTCGATTCGCCCTAGAGGTGGTGTGCGGTAATGCGTAATTACACTCGTGGTAGTCTGCATTTGGTCAAGCCGCTATATGAACGTGATTTACGAACGGTTGTTTGATCCTAACTCACTATCTCCGTCGGTGGCATATTTCATGGCAATGAATGAGTTGAATGTGCATTTTTTAAGAATTCATAATTTCTTTTGGTTAATCTTGAATACCATTTTCGTCATAAGAGTTTCTTAAATCACAGCAATCGACTTTTTCACCCCTGCACTACCATTTATCAAACCTAGCCGAAGGAGTTATTGGATTCTTGGCTGGTAAAATTTTGTTCAATTCTGAGGCATTTTTTTCCAGCAGACTTTTGGCATACGCATAGGAATAAACCGAGTTCCTCTTCTGACCGATTGGAATTTGCTTATTTTTATTTCTTTAAATAGGGAACGAAAGCCTTTCTACATCCGAATGCTGGCGAACAAGCTCACAACAAAATGTTTTACAGAGATGTGGGTTGATAAAGTCTGTATGCAATATTTATGGTCGCTTGCATGATCTCATCGGACTTTGTTATTTTTTTCGTGTGCGATATTGATATCGATGATTTCTGATTATTCTTAGTAATGTGCATTGTGATTTATGCTAACTACCTTGATTCTTACATTGAGAATTGTATATAACTTGAAACTCGGATTCCACGTTACCGTTTCGTTTCAATTTAATTTCCCGATAGTTGTTGACATATCGACCGCTCCCTGCGCTATCATAAACTGCCAAGCAAACAGAATGAGAGATTTCTGCACTCTTAATGTATCAAATGTTAGAATCAGACGACTAAATATATCCTAAAAAAGGAACATCCGAAAAGTTTGGAGAATATTATATAGGAACGAAACTGCAAAGAATGTGTAATCAGGCAATAGGCAATTTTGAACAGGTTTAATTGGATATCTTAAACATCTGGCGGAACCTTCCAATGGCGTTTCAATGGGGGCCTTTAACTACAAGTCCAAATATGGGATTGTGAAGTGTATATATCAGGTTACTGTTGCAGTCTAGCAATGCTTAATTGTAAAAGTTTTCCTGACTTACGACATTTAAGTATACACGTTAAGTAACTTGACCCACGGTAACATGATAGTATACTTATTATTCTAATTGGGCCTCAAGTGGACATCTGCGACAGAATTCGTTTTCTCAGATTTTCACAGTTTGGTTTGTTCTGGAAGCAGTTAAAAAGTTTTTAATATCAATGGGCATTATAACGTCTTTTTCGTTCCTACCTGTGCTTTGTTTAGCGCTGCTGCTGGTTTTGTGCCAAGAATCTTACTCAGCACACCTAATGGCACTATGACAGCTTTGCTGACGTCATCCGTTCCTTCATGACTATCCCAATCATCAACTGGACTATCGTCGATATCGCTTTTGGATCGCAAAACTCTGAAAGAAATATACACATTGCTTCATTATATTGTCTCTGTCGTGCCTTAATTCTCGGTGTTGTTGGTTGTTGTATCGATTTATACCAACTTCCAAAATAAATAGCATGAATATTATAAATGGTGAATGAAAATTTGCGAACGAAGTTTCTTTACGGAAAAAATCTCTAGCAAACATTTATCTATCCATTTTTTCAAGTGCTTCCCTGACAAGCACTGTTGACGATATCGATATAGGTAAACAGTGGGAACGTCAACTTCTTATAGTTTTGTATGATATTGTCAAACGGTTGATTGTGTCACTGGTGCACGTGTATGTACTTGGTAATTAATATTCAGGCAATGAAATGAACATCAACCATATGTTACATGCATATTTAAAATGTCTGTAAAATAGCAGAATATTTTCACTGCTTGTGTCTCTGTTAAATCAACGGATGATTGATTTTACAAAAAGTTAAACACAACTGAGTATGTGTACAGAGCGGTGTATATAACATGTGTGTTGCAGTCTGTCTGTATTGTAGTCCTGTAGTTAATACGGTATATATAACAGGTGTGTCACTGTCTGTATTGTAGTTCTGTAGTTAATACGGTATATATAACAGATGTGTCACTGTCTGTATTGTAGTTCTGTAGTTAATACGGTATATATAACAGGTGTGTCACTGTCTGTATTGTAGTTCTGTAGTTAATACGGTATATATAACAGGTGTGTCACTGTCTGTATTGTAGTTCTGTAGTTAATACGGTATATATAACAGGTGTGTCACTGTCTGTATTGTAGTTCTGTAGTTAATACGGTATATATAACAGGTGTGTCACTGTCTGTATTGTAGTTCTGTAGTTAATACGGTATATATAACAGGTGTGTCACTGTCTGTATTGTAGTTCTGTAGTTAATACGGTATATATAACAGGTGTGTCACTGTCTGTATTGTAGTTCTGTAGTTAATACGGTATATATAACAGGTGTGTCACTGTCTGTATTGTAGTTCTGTAGTTAATACGGTATATATAACAGGTGTGTCACTGTCTGTATTGTAGTTCTGTAGTTAATACGGTATATATAACAGGTGTGTCACTGTCTGTATTGTAGTTCTGTAGTTAATACGGTATATATAACAGGTGTGTCACTGTCTGTATTGTAGTTCTGTAGTTAATACGGTATATATAACAGGTGTGTCACTGTCTGTATTGTAGTTCTGTAGTTAATACGGTATATATAACAGGTGTGTCACTGTCTGTATTGTAGTTCTGTAGTTAATACGGTATATATAACAGGTGTGTCACTGTCTGTATTGTAGTTCTGTAGTTAATACGGTATATATAACAGGTGTGTCACTGTCTGTATTGTAGTTCTGTAGTTAATACGGTATATATAACAGGTGTGTCACTGTCTGTATTGTAGTTCTGTAGTTAATACGGTATATATAACAGGTGTGTCACTGTCTGTATTGTAGTTCTGTAGTTAATACGGTATATATAACAGGTGTGTCACTGTCTGTATTGTAGTTCTGTAGTTAATACGGTATATATAACAGGTGTGTCACTGTCTGTATTGTAGTTCTGTAGTTAATACGGTATATATAACAGGTGTGTCACTGTCTGTATTGTAGTTCTGTAGTTAATACGGTATATATAACAGGTGTGTCACTGTCTGTATTGTAGTTCTGTAGTTAATACGGTATATATAACAGGTGTGTCACTGTCTGTATTGTAGTTCTGTAGTTAATACGGTATATATAACAGGTGTGTCACTGTCTGTATTGTAGTTCTGTAGTTAATACGGTATATATAACAGGTGTGTCACTGTCTGTATTGTAGTTCTGTAGTTAATACGGTATATATAACAGGTGTGTCACTGTCTGTATTGTAGTTCTGTAGTTAATACGGTATATATAACAGGTGTGTCACTGTCTGTATTGTAGTTCTGTAGTTAATACGGTATATATAACAGGTGTGTCACTGTCTGTATTGTAGTTCTGTAGTTAATACGGTATATATAACAGGTGTGTCACTGTCTGTATTGTAGTTCTGTAGTTAATACGGTATATATAACAGGTGTGTCACTGTCTGTATTGTAGTTCTGTAGTTAATACGGTATATATAACAGGTGTGTCACTGTCTGTATTGTAGTTCTGTAGTTAATACGGTATATATAACAGGTGTGTCACTGTCTGTATTGTAGTTCTGTAGTTAATACGGTATATATAACAGGTGTGTCACTGTCTGTATTGTAGTTCTGTAGTTAATACGGTATATATAACAGGTGTGTCACTGTCTGTATTGTAGTTCTGTAGTTAATACGGTATATATAACAGGTGTGTCACTGTCTGTATTGTAGTTCTGTAGTTAATACGGTATATATAACAGGTGTGTCACTGTCTGTATTGTAGTTCTGTAGTTAATACGGTATATATAACAGGTGTGTCACTGTCTGTATTGTAGTTCTGTAGTTAATACGGTATATATAACAGGTGTGTCACTGTCTGTATTGTAGTTCTGTAGTTAATACGGTATATATAACAGGTGTGTCACTGTCTGTATTGTAGTTCTGTAGTTAATACGGTATATATAACAGGTGTGTCACTGTCTGTATTGTAGTTCTGTAGTTAATACGGTATATATAACAGGTGTGTCACTGTCTGTATTGTAGTTCTGTAGTTAATACGGTATATATAACAGGTGTGTCACTGTCTGTATTGTAGTTCTGTAGTTAATACGGTATATATAACAGGTGTGTCACTGTCTGTATTGTAGTTCTGTAGTTAATACGGTATATATAACAGGTGTGTCACTGTCTGTATTGTAGTTCTGTAGTTAATACGGTATATATAACAGGTGTGTCACTGTCTGTATTGTAGTTCTGTAGTTAATACGGTATATATAACAGGTGTGTCACTGTCTGTATTGTAGTTCTGTAGTTAATACGGTATATATAACAGGTGTGTCACTGTCTGTATTGTAGTTCTGTAGTTAATACGGTATATATAACAGGTGTGTCACTGTCTGTATTGTAGTTCTGTAGTTAATACGGTATATATAACAGGTGTGTCACTGTCTGTATTGTAGTTCTGTAGTTAATACGGTATATATAACAGGTGTGTCACTGTCTGTATTGTAGTTCTGTAGTTAATACGGTATATATAACAGGTGTGTCACTGTCTGTATTGTAGTTCTGTAGTTAATACGGTATATATAACAGGTGTGTCACTGTCTGTATTGTAGTTCTGTAGTTAATACGGTATATATAACAGGTGTGTCACTGTCTGTATTGTAGTTCTGTAGTTAATACGGTATATATAACAGGTGTGTCACTGTCTGTATTGTAGTTCTGTAGTTAATACGGTATATATAACAGGTGTGTCACTGTCTGTATTGTAGTTCTGTAGTTAATACGGTATATATAACAGGTGTGTCACTGTCTGTATTGTAGTTCTGTAGTTAATACGGTATATATAACAGGTGTGTCACTGTCTGTATTGTAGTTCTGTAGTTAATACGGTATATATAACAGGTGTGTCACTGTCTGTATTGTAGTTCTGTAGTTAATACGGTATATATAACAGGTGTGTCACTGTCTGTATTGTAGTTCTGTAGTTAATACGGTATATATAACAGGTGTGTCACTGTCTGTATTGTAGTTCTGTAGTTAATACGGTATATATAACAGGTGTGTCACTGTCTGTATTGTAGTTCTGTAGTTAATACGGTATATATAACAGGTGTGTCACTGTCTGTATTGTAGTTCTGTAGTTAATACGGTATATATAACAGGTGTGTCACTGTCTGTATTGTAGTTCTGTAGTTAATACGGTATATATAACAGGTGTGTCACTGTCTGTATTGTAGTTCTGTAGTTAATACGGTATATATAACAGGTGTGTCACTGTCTGTATTGTAGTTCTGTAGTTAATACGGTATATATAACAGGTGTGTCACTGTCTGTATTGTAGGTCTGTAGTTCATACGGTATATATAACAGGTGTGTCAGGGTCTGTATTGTAGGTCTGTAGTTAATACGGTATATATAACAGGTGTGTCATTGTCTGTATTGTAGTCCTGTAGTTAATACGGTATATATAACAGATGTGTCACTGTCTGTGTTGTAGTCCTGTAGTTAATACGGTATATATAACAGATGTGTCACTGTCTGTGTTGTAGTCCTGTAGTTAATACGGTATATATAACAGATGTGTCACTGTCTGTATTGTAGGTCTGTAGTTCATACGGTATATATAACAGGTGTGTCAGGGTCTGTATTGTAGGTCTGTAGTTAATACAGTATATATAACAGGTGTGTCATTGTCTGTATTGTAGTCCTGTAGTTAATACGGTATATATAACAGATGTGTCACTGTCTGTGTTGTAGTCCTGTAGTTAATACGGTATATATAACAGATGTGTCACTGTCTGTATTGAAGGTCTGTAGTTAATACGGTATATATAACAGATGTGTCACTGTCTGTGTTGTAGTCCTGTAGTTAATACGGTATATATAACAGATGTGTCACTGTCTGTGTTGTAGTCCTGTAGTTAATACGGTATATATAACAGGTGTGTCACTGTGTGTATTGTAGTTCTGTAGTTAATACGGTATATATAACATTTGTGTCACTGTCTGTATTGTAGTCATGTAGTTAATACGGTATATATAACAGGTGTATCACTGTCTGTATTGTAGTCCTGTAGTTAATACGGTATATATAACAGATGTGTCATTGTCTGTATTGTAGGTCTGTAGTTAATACGGTATATATAACAGATGTGTCATTGTCTGTATTGTAGGTCTGTAGTTCATACGGTATATATAACAGGTGAGTCAGGGTCTGTATTGTAGGTCTGTAGTTAATACAGTATATATAACAGGTGTGTCATTGTCTGTATTGTAGTCCTGTAGTTAATACGGTATATATAACAGGTAGTCACTGTCTGTATCGTTGTTCTGTAGTTAATACGGTATATATAACAGATGTGTCACTGTCTGTATTGAAGGTCTGTAGTTAATACGGTATATATAACAGATGTGTCACTGTCTGTGTTGTAGTCCTGTAGTTAATACGGTATATATAACAGATGTGTCACTGTCTGTGTTGTAGTCCTGTAGTTAATACGGTATATATAACAGATGTGTTACTGTCTGTATTGTAGTTCTGTAGTTAATACGGGATATATAACAGGTGTGTCACTGTCTGTATTGTAGTTCTGTAGTTAATACGGGATATATAACAGGTGTGTCATTGTCTGTATTGTAGTTCTGTAGTTAATACGGGATATATAACAGGTAGTCGTTGTCTGTATTGTAGTTCTGTAGTTAATACGGTATATATAACATTTGTGTCACTGTCTGTATTGTAGTCATGTAGTTAATACGGTATATATAACAGGTGTATCACTGTCTGTATTGTAGTCCTGTAGTTAATACGGTATATATAACAGATGTGTCACTGTCTGTGTTGTAGTCCTGTAGTTAATACGGTATATATAACAGATGTGTCACTGTCTGTGTTGTAGTCCTGTAGTTAATACGGTATATATAACAGATGTGTCACTGTCTGTGTTGTAGTCCTGTAGTTAATACGGTATATATAACAGATGTGTCACTGTCTGTGTTGTAGTCCTGTAGTTAATACGGTATATATAACAGGTGTGTCATTGTATGTATTGTATTTCTGTAGTTAATACGGTATATATAACAGGTAGTCGTTGTCTGTATTGTAGATCTGTAGTTAATACGGTATATATAACAGGTAGTCGTTGTATGTATTGTAGTTCTGTAGTTAATACGGTATATATAACAGGTAGTCACGTTCTGTATTGTAGTTCTGTAGTTAATACGGTATATATAACAGGTATGTCACTGTCTGTATTGAAGTTCTGTAGTTAATACGGTATATATAAGAGGTAGTCACTGTCTGTATTGAAGTTCTGTAGTTAATACGGTATATATAACAGGTAGTCGTTGTCTGTATTGTAGTTCTGTTGTTAATACGGTATATATAACAGGTAGTCACAGTCTGTATTGTAGTTCTGTAGTTAATACGGTATATATAACAGGTATGTCACTGTCTGTATTGAAGTTCTGTAGTTAATACGGTATATATAACAGGTATGTCACTGGCTGTATTGTAGTCCTGTAGTTAATACGGTATATATAACAGGTGTGTCATTGTCTGTATTGTAGTGCTGTATTTAATACGGTGTATATAACAGGTATGTCACTATATGTCTACGTTTTGTTTTTGTTCTTTTTGAGTGGGTTCCAAAATTAGGTTCTCTTACGTTCATGCTGTAGATAACCGAAAGTGTTTATTCGATCTCCGACCAGCAGTGGTAGGTATTCATTGCTTTTATTCGAAACGCAAGTCAATCACTTTTTTCATAGTGATGATATTAAATGTACTTCTTGTGTCAGGAAGAAATATTTGAAATTGAGGCTGAAATCACGAGATCCCGTTCATGTGCTAATAAACTCCGTGCTGTGTTTTACCTTTGTGAACTTGAATAATTGAAAATCCTGACATTATTTCCGAAATTTAGGAAATGTTTTGACCTTGATCATATCTTGTATAATTCATTCATTACTTTATATTACTACTTAACACAAGTTTAGCTGTATAATTATTTACAGCAAACATATATGAGCAATGTTAAATAGAAGAGTTACCTACTGGTGTTAGTCATATACAGGGTGTCTATATATAGCCAGCGTCTTCTATTTGATTGTTCTATTTAGTTAGACGACATTAAGCAATCTTAACTACTCCCTCGTTAGCAATGTAAAACCCACGTGCCTCTAAGAGGCCGACAAGGAGACAAGACAAGCCAGGCCCAGCATCACTGTCACCTTATACATTGATTTGAGAGAATTAATGTATCACGGTTTAAATTTTTGTGGACTGTTCTTATGTATTGTTACAGTTAAAGAGGCCATCAGGGTACCGTTATGATGCTGGCATAATCCTAGTATAACGTGATTACAGGATTTACATCTATTTGATATCTAAGGGAATGCTAGAGTCCATACATCTTCTTGTATTTTTTACCTTGAGAACAGAAGATTTCCTGTTAAGGTAGAATTGTAAGCAACATTGTTACATTTATCTCCAGTTACTTACTTCCAAGGATAGGGTTTGGTCAAAGACAATCTATATCTTCAAGACTTCCAATTTTGTTATACACGGGTTTAAAACACGTTTGTCAACAAATTTAAAACCAGTATACTATTAAGTCAGATATACGTGGCTTAATATAATAACAAGGTATATCACAAGTGATACAAATTCTCTCGCATTCACAAAATCCAATGATGTATCAGTATCTGCTCTAGTGACTGCATTCTTCGATGAACAATATATTTTTCTTCAATTGAGGAATAAAGTCGGTATAGCGATGACAAAAACGTTTCTAAAAATAGTAACAGTGACATTAACCTTCAATATAGAAACCCGAAACGCGAACTTGTTCAAGGTATTGACATAACAAACACTTGTATGACGTTTCATGAAATTCCGTTTAGTAAGGAAATAGCTATAACGATGACAAAGTTCTTTTTCTAAAAATAGTAACAGTGACCTTAACACTCGACGCAGAAAACCGAAATGCTAAATCGTTCACGGCATTGCCATGCCAAATACTTATATGAAGTTTCATGAATTTCCGTTGGAATGAAGTTGCTAGAGCTATAACAAAGAGTTAACATACGTACGTACGTATATACGTTCGTACGTACGAACGGGCGAATCCGATATCCCCTCGAACTTTCGTTGCGAACTTGCGTTGCGAGGGGATAACAAGTGTCAGGCGTGATGTAGACAATGATTTGATTGCCTGATGTTGATTACAAACAACTAAAATATTGTTTTCATTTACACTGGTTTCAAAGCAAAATATTATGCCAAAAAATGTATAATGGAATTTATTACATATCAGGTGAAATTTACCTTGGGGATACAGTCTTTTTCATGCGTATTTAACACTGTGGTAAAAGCAGATACTATATTCCACCAGTAGCCAGAACTCATTTTGCCTGGGACTCATCGGGAATAAGCCATTGATCAAAATCGATGTATTGAAACAGGAATCGGTTTTAACCAATTAGCGCCATTTCATGCTACTGAAATATTACGTCATCGACGCCGTTTTGGACGCCATGGTTGCTCGGGACACAAAGCGAACATAAGGGGTCAATAACGAGCATTGATTTGTAGAAATTGCAAAAGGTTTTTAAATGACGATTGTAGGTATGTAATAAAAGCAATACCACACACAGATCAGGGAATATGGCTACATAACTTATTATAGCGCATTCAAAATTAACCGCTTCGTCGTTGTTTTTTTTTACATTTTCATGTATCGATGAATTTGAGCAAAAGATAGCAATATACAGGTACTCCAATTGGTGCAATCTTAATTGCACAACGTCAAGGGATAGTATTATGGGGTAGTTATCATATCTGGAAAGTTTCGTTGAAATATGTCCATTGCATTAGAAGGAGTTGTCCGAATAAATATTTTCTACGGACGGACGGAGGGACATGCTGATTCCAGTATATCCACTAACTTCGTTGCGGGGGTATAATTGCCAGGTTAGCGATAAAAGGTTAGTCTAAAGCAAGGCAGTATACGTACAATGAAGCAATGTCGCCATAGTCTGGTAAACCACCGTTAGCCATTTTATTTGCCTCTTCTCCATCCCTTTTCGCTGCCACACCCAAACATCGGGGAGCAAAGGGGTAATGTCTGAAAATCAAAGACAAATGACTTATTTAGTTACAGCTTATTAACCAAAACAGTTGACGATTAACAAAGAGGCAAATGTTATTATACCGCAACAGATTCAATCGAACCATAATGATCACGTCCTACATTCTACTTGTATGAGGCAAATCCCTACAAGAATACGATCAATTACTGCCTTTCACTAATTCTATTGATTGTATACTACTAGTATTATTACTTTAGGCATTGTTATAGGACACCTGAAACAGAGCCACGTCCAGCTTACAGAACCACTCTACAGCCCTGCACAATACATAAACTATTAAAACATATACAATAATAAATACTATTTCGATGTTCGTATATACCGCTTTATCACAACCTAGTTCGCAGGTCGTGTCAAAGCGGTTCACAAATTATTATCCGTGGTTATAGGGCATTTGCAACCTGCCAATATCTTTTTCAACTCCCCGCATACAGTCGGTGCTGCCATTTTTGCGCTCATAGCTAGCATTCAACAATTCTAGTACTGCCCAACTACATACTCATTTACAGCTGAGTAGACTGGAACAAGCGAAGTGAATAATCTTTTTCAAAGATGCAACACAGTGCCGTGACGTGTCTCGAACCCGCAATCCTTCGGTCACGAGCCTGGCGTCCTACCACTAAACTAATCTGCCTCCTAAACGATTGAGTACATACATAATTTTTCCAATATACTTAATGTATTATCGGCTTAGTATTGATGTCACCACAGCCAAAACCCACGAAATTATTAACATTTATACAATGTACATCCATAGACTGAAACACTCAATGTCGTAAGTGTGGACAGAACAAAGTTGAATAGTCGGAGTATCTCGCTCCTTTTTAATATTGTAGAAGCCGTCCAACCCTTTTTCAAGACAAAAACATATAACACAATATATAAGCACACTCAATAACAAAAATATAAACTGTTTCTATTAACAGTATTTCATCACAAAATACATAACAGAAAACAAGTTATTACTGATAAAATATGCCTATGTTAAACAAAAATATTTTTGTGCAGATGATTACCGCCACTCTCGTGCGAAAGAAGAAGACATGTGAGAAATGTATCATCCCCTTACATGGTCTAATAATTTAGGGAGCCCTTGTAACGCCACGATTTCTCACCAATAGCACGATTTCTCACCCATAGAACGATTTCTCACCAATAGAACGATTTCTCGCCCAGTGGTATGTTTTGCATAGTTTCTCAACAAATGAGAAATCGTGTTGAGGTGAGAAATCGAGGCGTAACACACCTGTTTCATTGCAGGCAATACAGTAGAGAATTGCTCTGTAGTATCTCATATATACCAGAAGTTCCCTATAGAATGGGCCACCCTACTACAGCACCGTGCATAAGGTATTCGCGGTGTCTCAAAATTTATTCTAAATCGTGTATTTTCCTTTTTTTAATGGAATTTTCTGAGGCTCATAATAGCGCTATTGAAACACATTTAATAACTGAATGTTACTTTTCTATATTAATAATCCGATAAACTTTTAATTCTGTTAATCGGTTTTCGAAATATGTAAAGTTCTCATTGAAATCGATATTACGATGCCATTTTGCTCTTTGTTTTACAAAATAATGGCAGTGGAATTTTATTTTCAAAAATAAGTCATCATACTTTGTAAAACATTCATTGGGAAAAAAGATGAAAACAATAATTAATACTCTTTCAGGGTATTCAATTCAATGAAAAAAAAGAGGTTGGAGATGCATGAATAAAAGAGTCAATCCGGGGAATTCGCGAATACTTTTGGCACTGTGCTGTACATTTGACATGATAACTCAGTTACTTAGGGCTACAATATAATTATCGGAGGTGTGACCTAATCACTCAGTTATATATAATTACTTAGGGCTACAATATAATTATCGGAGGTGTGACCTGATCACTCAGTTATATATAATTACTTAGGGCTACAATATAATTATTGGAGGTACATACTTTTAATCTTTGTTGGGCCCCATCGTAGTTGGAATACTCGGATATTTTTTTCTGATCAATTTTGACTAGTTATGTGTGTCTTTCAAGGAAGGATTTTTCAAAGCAATAGTCATACAGTTAAAAGCGTTTCCAATGCATACTAAAAAATAGATAAAAAAAAATGCGAACGTATAAGACCAATTCCTTTATAGAGGCTATGGTAGTCTTAATATTTGTCTGAAAAGTTGTGGGTTCGAGTCCCGTACTGGATTCAGATATAACTATGCGCCTTGGACTTTGCGTTTTGCGAGATAGACAGGGAAAGAATTACAAAAAAACCCGTTATACGTTTACATACGGAACTGGGGTCTTGTTCCCAGTTCCGTTTAAGAGGAAACATAATTGGAGTTCCCAATGGTTTATAAGAGGCTGGTTATGATATATGAAACAGAACTAGGATTTTGGTCAAAGTTCCATTGATGGTGTTATTTCAGTTTTTAAACGGAATAAGGGTCTGGTTCCCAATTCCGTTTTTCTTTTCACGGAACGGGGAACTATAGGTAGGAACTTCTGGTTCACAAAAATGATACTCTTCATGGGCATTTCCAATCTATTCATAATGCTAGTTTCAAATAAAACTCGAGTATATTGTTTACTAAACACACAGAGCCCTATTAATACGCCTGACTGAATATACTTACGCGCAAAATCTTCGTCCAATTTTTGGCCTAGCATTGACCATACCAGCAACAAATATTACCATGAACGTCAAAACCAGGTATTCTGGCGTTATTGTGGGCATGCTCTGGATAGGAAAGAAGAAATACATAAATTAATGGTATGAAATAACTCAGGTACGGTTTTATAGATTTACTTCAAAGTGAGCGTATACGATCATGCAGAGTCCTCAATTCAATTCCAAGACTTTGTGTAGTTTTGTGTCTTTTCGTTATAAAATAACAAACTTACGTCACACTTCTATAACTTTTAATACAAAAACAAATGCCTTATCCTCACCAATAGGCCAAGCATACAATATTACACAATAATGACAATATATCTTATACATATATACCTTTTTTTATTATTGACAAAGACCCGGATGACCACTTTACGGCAAAGAATGCCGTAAAGTGGTCCAGCGTTATAAACATAACTTTATCGTGTGATTACAGTTCTAGTAGGACAATAAGCAAACAAAGAATCATGCATTGAAACCGACATTCTAATATAAGAATTCCTCATCAAATATGTGTAACTTATGAGCAGGTTGTGCTAGTGTTGTGTTGTCGGCATGATAAAAACCAAACTAAATCGGATAAAGAGGCTGTACATACATGTACATATAACTATTACGTCTCATAACCGACAGTCATGCATGTATTTGTCTCAGAGATCACCTTATATAGCTATCACCTCTCTATAACGACAGTCATATATGATTTAGAGATCATCTGTATAGCTATCAATCCTCTTTAACTTTATTTAGATAACAAACCATTTGTCTATTATAGTTACCACTCCTTTATAATTATCAACTACATTTATTGCCTTCAAGTTTACATATTTCTTTTAAGACAATCTATATTTATTACATGTACAATTAAAATATGTAGTGTCATAAAAAGAGCGACTGCTGTTACTACATGATATACTCTAAAGCCCACCAGGTCTTCCTTATTTAGCAGTTTGCACAAATTGGCATCTGTTTCTTACGTTCGTTTCTATAATTAGCAGTTAAATGGTGATACACTTTTAACAACTGATATATATATAGCTGAAGAGCATTGAAAAGCGAAAGCTCTCTCGGGACAGCAATTTTCAAACAAAATATTTCTTTATTTAATTTCATACAGGAAACTTAGGATAACCGACCTTTTTAACTTTTAAAAATATAACTGCTCATATCTTGTTATGAGGACAGGTTGTATAGAATAGAATACATAAAATACACATTTATTTTGTAATTTTAGTGAAAGAGTTTATGATATATTAAAGTTTCCAATTACTTGATATTTTGGACACTAGTATCCTACACTGTTGGTTTCCAATATCTGATAATATATTTTTGTGATAACGACATGACAGGCAAAATAGTTGGCAAATAACTGTACCGAGCGATCTGTTTTCACAACAACACAGAGCAGGTCAAACTGCATCGATATTGCATACCTACTGGTATAACAGCACCATGTACCGCAGTCAAACTGTCTGCAGTTTATTGCTGATACTCTCAGTAAATATACAGTTAGGATAAACGGTTTTCCCTACGTTTCAATTTCCCGTTCATGTAGTTGGGGCCAGGTCAATAACCAGAACAGCAGCTGACGAGCACATTACTTCATGCGCGGTTTCCTGTTCAAAATTGACATATTTAACAAAAGTTGTTTTATCTGATTGATTTGTTTTTAAGAGAAAAAGATGTTTGAAGTGAATAGAACAATCATATTAAACGAGGGCAATCGTACATGCAGCAATAGTCCCCAGACTATGTTTTTATACACGATAAATGCTGTGTGCAAATTTACTTTTATAAATATATATTCCCCTAGAACGGATATAGAAGAGACTTTCCGCATCGAACGAAAATATTTGTAAAGGACAGTAAATGTGACAATAACAGAGCCCACAGCCTTTGTCACGATTTTGTCCAGATTTTGGTCCCTTGATCATGCGCAATGTATATATTTTACTGTATAACTTATATTCAGAACCCGCTAGTACGTTACTGTAACCATATACTGTATACATATTAACGTTACAGTAACCATATACTGTATACAACAATACACTGTATAATATTTACGTTACTGTAACCATATACTGTATACATAGTTACGTCACTGTAACCATATACTGTATACATATTTACGTCACTGTAACCATAAACTGTATACATATTTACGTCACTGTAACCATATACTGTATTCATATTTACGTTACTGTAACCATAAACTGTATACATATTTACGTTACTGTTACCATAAACTGTATACATATTTACGTCACTGTAACCATATACTGTATACATAGTTACGTCACTGTAACCATATACTGTAACCATATTTGTGTTACTGTAACCATAAACTGTATACATAGTTACGTCACTGTAACCATATACTGTAACCATATTTGTGTTACTGTTACCATATGTATACATAGTTACGTCACTGTAACCATATACTGTAACCATATTTACGTCACTGTAACCATATACTGTATACAACAATACACTGTATAATACTTACGTTACTGTAACCATATACTGTATTCATATTTACGTTATTGTAACCATAAACTGTATACATATTTGCGTAACTGTTACCATATACTGTATACATATTTACGTTACTGTAACCATATATTGTTTAATACTTACGTTACTGTAACCAAACTGTATACATATGTACGTCACTGTAACCATATACTGTATACATATTAACGTTACTGTAACCATATACTGTATAATACTTACGTTACTGTAACCATATACTGTATTCATATTTACGTTACTGTAACCATAAACTGTATACATATTTACGTTACTGTAACCATATCCTGTTTAATACTTACGTTACTGTTACCATAAACTGTATACATATGTACGTCACTGTAACCATATACTGTAACCATATACTGTAACCATATTTGTGTTACTGTTACCATCAACTGTATACATATTTACGTCACTGTAACCATAAACTGTATACATACTTACGTTACTGTAACCATATACTGTATACATATTTACGTTACTGTAACCATATACTGTTTAATACTGACGTTACTGTTACCATAAACTGTATACATATGTACGTCACTGTAACCATATACTGTAACCATATTTGTGTTACTGTTACCATAAACTGTATGCATATTAACGTTACTGTTACCATAAACTGTATACATATTTACGTTACTGTTACCATAAACTGTATACATATTTACGTAACTTTTACCATAAACTGTATACATATTTACGTTACTGTAGCCATATACTGTTTAATACTGACGTTACTGTTACCATAAACTGTATACATATTTACGTTACTGTAGCCATATACTGTTTAATACTGACGTTACTGTTACCATAAACTGTATACATATGTACGTCACTGTAACCATATACTGTAACCATATTTGTGTTACTGTTACCATAAACTGTATACATATTTACGTAACTTTTACCATAAACGGTATACATATTTACGTTACTGTAACCATATACTGTATTCATATTTACGTCACTGTAACCATATACTGTATACATATTTGTGTTACTGTTACCATAAACTGTATACATATTTGCGTCACTGTAACCATATACTGTAACCATATTTGTGTTACTGTTACCATAAACTGTATACATATTTACGTAACTTTTACCATAAACTGTATACATATTTACGTTACTGTAACCATATACTGTATTCATATTTACGTCACTGTAACCATATACTGTAACCATATTTGTGTTACTGTATAAACTGTATACATATTTACGTTACTATAACCATATCCTGTTTAATACTTACGTTACTGTAACCATTTACTATCTAATCCTTACGTTACTGTTACCATAAACTGTATACATATGTACGTCACTGTAACCATATACTGTATTCATATTTACGTCACTGTAACCATATACTGTATTCATATTTACGTTACTGTAACCATTTACTATCTAATACTTAAGTTACTGTTACCATAAACTGTATGCATATTTACGTTACTGTAACCATATACTGTTTAATACTTACGTTACTGTAACCATTTACTATCTAATACTTACGTTACTGTTACCATAAACTGTATACATATTTACGTTACTGTAACCATATACTGTATACATATTTACGTTTCTGTTACCATATACTGTTTAATATTTACGTTACTGTAACCATATATTGTTTAATACTTACGTTACTGTAACCATATACTGTTTAATACTTACGTTACTGTAACCATATACTGTATTCATATTTACGTCACTGTAACTATATACTGTTACCATATACTGTTTAATACTTCCGTTACTGTAACCATATACTGTATCCATATTTACGTTACTGTTACCATATACTGTTTAATTCTTACGTTACTGTAACCATATACTGTATACATATTTACGTTACTGTTACCATATACTGTTTAATATTTACGTTACTGTAACCATATACTGTTTAATGCTTACGTTACTTTAACCATATACTGTATACATATTTACGTTACTGTAACCATATACTGTTTAATACTTTCGTTACTGTAACTATATACTGTATACATATTTACGTTACTGTAATAATATACTGTATATATATTTACGTCACTGTAACCATATACTGTATAATACTTACGTTATTGTAACCATATATTGTTTACATATTTACGTTACTGTAACCATATACTGTTTAATACTTACGTTACTGTAACCATATACTGTATTCATATTTACGTCACTGTACCCATATACTGTATAATACTTACGTTATTGTAACCTTATATTGTTTACATATTTACGTTACTGTCACCATATACTGTTTAATCCTTACGTTACTGTAACCATATCCTGTATACATATTAACGTTACTGTAACCATATACTGTATAATACTTACGTTATTGTAACCTTATATTGTTTACATATTTACGTTACTGTAACATATACTGTTTAATACTTACGTTACTGTAACCATATACTGTCTACATATTTACGTTACTGTAACCATATCCTGTATACATATTTACGTTACTGTAACCATATACTGTATACTACTTACGTTACTGTAACCATATACTGTAT